AGGGTGAGGTTGCCCCAGTAGGGACAGCCTCACTGTGCCTTGTGGCAGCAAACCCGGCTGCCAGCCCCTCCACTCACCCTGCTGCTGCATGGTGAAGTGGGCTGGAAGGGGGGGAACCCCAGCGGGCAGGGCTAATCAAAAGCTGGAGGCATGGTCTGGCAGGCAGGGGTTTGCGGCCCCCCCTTGGGAACCGGTGGCTTAATGCGCTACTGGAAGGCATTAAAACACTGTCATGAGCACAGACTAGAATGGAATAGAATCCACCCCATCATGTCAGCGACACAGTCCATGCATCCCCATTGCTCTCCACTGGAACAGTCAGTGCACCACTATTATACCCTGTCCCCCCAACTGCTCTCTTCAGTGGGACCATCCTTGTATTACAGTATCTAAGGAGCTCTGGGTCTGGCTGTGCGCTTCGAGGGCAAGCATGTTCATTGTGACACCACCATCTTATTGTGCAGCATGGGAGTGGGTCTCCTTAGAACCCCACTAGAGTCATGAATGATGCCCGTTGCCTTCCCTTGCCACTGCTCAATGTCTTCAGCCAAGAAGGAACTGCAGTGGGTGAAAGTGGCTGTGCAAACTGTCTGCATAAGTCCCTGAGTTTTTCAGATTCCGCTCCCCACGGTGAGTCTTAGGGACATTCCCTCAGGGTCTGTGGCTCAAAAGCCCTTATTGTAATTCAGATATTGGCCAAAATCCCTTGGTCTGGCTTCGTCTCTCCAGGGCTCGGGTACTGAATATCATTGTTTTGATGCGACGAGGAGTCCTGTGGCACCTTATAGACTAACTGAAGTGTAGGAGCATAAGCTTTCGTGGGCAAAGACCCACTTCTTCAGATGCATGTCTGTCTTTGCATCTGACGAAGTGGGTCTTTGCCCACGAAAGCTTATGCTCCTACACTTCAGTTAGTCTATAAGGTGCCACAGGACTCCTCGTCGCTTTTGCAGATTCAGACTAATACGGCTACCCCTCTGATACTTGATTGTTTTGATGAAATCACAAGTTTGGTGAATAAAGCTACACTATTGGCAGAACAGACTTAGACTTCTGCAAGGCATTTCACTCAGTACCATGTGATCTCTTGATCCAAATATTAATTCAGTTCATTGCCAGTTTTTAATCTATTAGTCAAACAGATCACAAAGCAGAATCTATTTTGTTCAGATTTCAGCCCAATTCTATTCAGTATCTTTTATCCACGATTTGGTTACAAAAAATATCGCTGCTGCTAGATACCTTAGCACTGAGCAAATTCCACTCATTTGAACAAAATATGTTTTAATACAGCCAAATTCAAGGTCACTGTTATAGGTGGGAAAATGTATTTTTGGAAAGCGGCGAGATTAAAAATGATTCAAGGGTCATAGTGGAAGCAAGCTGGACACAAGCTCCTAGCAAGACATTGTACTTAAGAAGGCTATCCTTGGGCACATGAGCAGGGGACTATCCAACAGAAGTAGAGAAGTGATGAGACCGATGATGAGACTGGAATGGTTTGAGGTCTGTAACCCCTGACGTATAGCAAAAAAATTAGGAAATTCAATCTATTTAGTTGATGCAACAGAAGGTACAGATCAGCTGGTGTGCTGAAACCAATCATGTTGGCCAAAAATGCCTCATTGTTTCCTTTTCTCCCCTGCCAGTTTGTAGCCGCAAGTTGTCTTTTGTCCTATACTTAGAAAGACAGCTCTTTGGGGCAGAAGCCATATTTTGGCTCTGTGTTTTCACTGGGCTCACTGGCACTACAGCAATTTAAAAAAATGAATAATAATAATAATACAACACAATCATGGTCTAGAAGTATCTATATGGCAAGGAGATTTCTGAGAGCACATGGCTATATCTCATAGACAAAGGCACAATGAGATCCAACAGCTGGGAGCTGTAACTAGATAAATTCAGACTGGAAATAAGATGCAGATTTTTAACAGTGCAGGGAACAAACCACTGCAACAACTTACCCAGGGATGGGGTGGATTGTCTGTTATTCACAGTCTGCAAACGGAGACAGAGTGTCTTTCTGGAAGACCCACTTTAGCTCAGCCAGACAATCTGGGCAGCACACAGGCGTTACTCAGAGGGATTTTCTGGCCTGGGCTCAGCAGGTAGCCAGACGGCATGGTAAGACACTAAAAGCTATGGATCTGTGCCCCCTGGGCTCTGCTCAGTTCCTCAGGCCTGGCTCCCCCTTTCTGGAGCTCAGTGTCGAGCCTCATTGCCTGGCCAGGCTCCTTTCCCATCTTCTCACGTTTCCCGGCTCAGAGGAAGCAGCAGCAGATGTGTGAGCTGTTTGCTTTGTGCTGGGGCCACATGGGAGTTACCTGCACTCAGGCCCAGACACGCAGTTTCCAAACGAAACATGTGGACTGAGCCAAAGGCCCGAAATGCAGCCAAACCCTCAGCCACTTTGGCCTGCTTGGACAGCTCCCTCCTCCTGCATGACCCAGAGTGAAAAGAGCCTCCAGCTGCACCCCTGCTACACAGGGACAGGAGACCGCTGCCCAGGGCCTGCTCCAGCCCCTAACAGTAACAGCTGCCCTTTGTCCAGGGCAGGTGCAAAGTCCGTGGAAGTGCAACTAGAGACAAGAGGCGCCTTCCCAGGCCTCGCACCAGCAACTCAGGTTCCACCCCCTCCCCACTCTAAGGCAGGGACTCTCCTCTTCCCCTCCCCCTTGTCCCCCTGCTGTTCCCAACAGGCACACACCTCTTCCCCTCCCTCCTCCTGCAATTGCATTTCCAGAACCAGAAAGGCTTCCCCCCGACCCCCCCCACAAGGACTGAACTAAACAGAGCAGTGTGAAGGGGCCTCACTTCAGGGGTTGGGCAGTGGGGGGAAGGGGGGTGCTGGCTCCTCCTGCAATTGCATTTCCAGAACCAGAAAGGCTTCCCCCCGACCCCCCCCACAAGGACTGAACTAAACAGAGCAGTGTGAAGGGGCCTCACTTCAGGGGTTGGGCAGTGGGGGGAAGGGGGGTGATGGCTGTAGGCCACCCCCCCCAGCTCATACAACTAACGC